AATTCACTGTTCAGCTATTGTATACTAGTTAATGATTGGAAAGTACAGTTTCACTAGTTTAAGATTTCTCATTAGCAAATCTCAGTGTGGGCACCGTAACAAGTGGCAATTAATTCAGAAAACAGAATTCTTGCGGATGTCTACAGCAATATATTCAAATGGCTGTTTTCCCTTACACAGGAAAAGAGAATGCATGCTGGGTTCGATAGTTCCACAATCGATAAGAAGGTGCAGAATTGTAGGGTTTCTCTTCTGAGATAAAACGAATGATTTGTGCACCTCAGGTACAAGAAATATGCCAATGCCTAGTTGTAAGCGACGAACAGCTGCGCACAGTGATGAAGACAATGCACGATGCCATGGAGAAGGGCCTGAAAGAAGATTTACGTAAGTTAAACTGCAGTAGTTGAGCTTTTTGGCGGATTGCGTTGCTTAAGATTCAAATACGCTTAAGCATTCACCCTCTGCATACTTTCGTACCACTCCTGCTTTCCAAGTGTTACTCATTAAATCTATTTTGAGGCCTGATACTCCTAGATAGGTTGTTGATTTTCGTGAAGGCAAGGGGCTATCAACACCGCAAAGTCATGAATGGATCTCGTCTTAGGACTAAACCAAAGTCTCCCTCCGAGCGTTGGATTGGTACAAGTGCTCCATGAGGGAAAAAGCCATGACTATTCGCTTTGACGCAAACGCATCTTCTCAACATTGAGCTGATTCAAAAACTTTAGAAAACTATTGCTATTATTGCTCCCTTTCTTACTGATTTCTTTTGCGGACTACATACCTTTAAGTTCATATATTTTGTAGGAGTGTGCACTGCACAGCAAAAAAACAGAAGCATCACCCAGTACTTTCGTACATTATGCCGTAAAAGTGCTATTTCAGCGGCCGGTGTTGGTCTAAAAATGCTACCGTCGTATGTTCGTGCAGTTCCTAATGGAACAGAGTTTGGAGATTATCTGGCGTTGGATCTTGGAGGAACAAACTTCCGTGTTCTTATGATTCGACTTAGAGGTCGCGAAGCCGAAATGATTGGGAAAGTCTACGAAATTCCCGTGTCAGTCATGCGAGGAACTGGCGATATGGTAAGCAGCTGACTGTTTCAAATAAGGGTATTGCTCTAAGGAGAAGTTGTCGTAGCGTTGTCCAGTTAAACGTAAATTGATGGAAAGTGTAATAGTTTTATCATGTTACCGCACTTAGAAGAGTTGCGGCGGCTTAGCAGGAGTTTCCAAATCTTCTGCCGCGCTTCCCCAAAACAAGTGACGAGGGTAGCCAAGCGCAGACCTCGGCAGCAGGTCTCCGGAGGGCAAGCTAAAATTCATTTATGGAAAATAGCAAAGGGGAAATGCATAGGGTTAAGAGTGGTTTGAAGTTCAATCTCGATTATGACAGTTCCTTCAGTGATAAGAATTTTAAAGCTCTCCCTTCCTAAGGGGATGTTCACGCATGCTGCCTAGTTATTCATGTCTTATTCAATACTTAATTACAATAATTCCATGAATAAACGATGAACAGCCACTCTATGGCCATTCAGAAACCTGGTCCAGTACAGTTCGACAATTTTCAAGGCGATGTTTGCGCGGGAAATTTTAAGAAATTTTTATGTGCATA